GAAGATTGAGCAATGCTAGGAATTAAACTGAATCTGAAAGATTCCACTGCCCAGTATAAAATGCTGAGATAATTTTACCAGGTTCCTCTCACCATCTTGGGTTTTATTCTTATGTTTTTTCTGCTTCAGTATAGAACATTGCTTTTTGGGGGGTGGCACATAATTCATCCATGTTCAGGAGGTTAGAAGGACTTGTTGTGTGTAATACACTAGTGAACTAGCAAAACCACAGCCCGGATAACTTGACATCCTGGAACAGGACCTGGGGGTCTGGATAGCAGTGCCCTGTCTCAGTGGCTGAGGGATCAGTGGGGTCCCTCCATGAATTCTTTGAGTTTTCAGAGAATAAACTTCTTAAAACTGTTATTTAGAGGACAGAGTTGAAATGCTGTAGTGTAGTTTTAATTGGTTGCAGAATGGTTTTGCCCTGGACAGTGGAGCAGTCACCATCTGTGATGCTGACTGTCTCTTTGGTCTGTAGTCTATTAAATTCCAGTTGGATTGTTAGGCCAAGCAATCACCAAATGTTTATCAGCCTAGTGGTATTGCCTGATAACACCCATTTCACCACGAAGTTGTTTAAAAGTTTAATTCATGTCTTATTATAGTTAAAAATTACACTTAATTTCATTGAAGCTTGGAAGGCTTCTAGGTCATTTGAATTTATCATCTATAGCAGGATCAAGTTAACACACAGACATCTGATTAGATGTTTTTGTCAGGAGTTGAGCTGATTACTTGGAACCTGCTTATTATTGAGGAAGCCTTTGAGTATTAAGCTGTAGAAATAATAAATTGATTGGTCTTGTTAAGCCTTAATATCTGAAGGTATATAGGGAATGTGAAGAGAGTCCCATCAGAACCACACACTATTGTTTGGAAGGTGGTCTATCCAAGTATTCTCTGGGAGTTGTTATTCACAAGTAGCATGTCTGGAGAGCAAAATGTGTGTGTTCACAGTGAGCCCTGGTATACTAAAGTGCAGGTTTCTGGGCCATCAGGAAGGTTCAGTTCAACCATCATTTACCTTGGCAAAGCCACAGTGAAGTTGTGGCAAAGCTGATGGAAGAGACGAGGGAACCTGAGCTTTCAAAAGGGCTGTTCAACAGAAGCTGTGATGTGGAAACAGAGCTGAGAAGACCCTCAGACTGCTTCTCAGACACACTTTATCCCATGCTTGATTTTAAATGTAGTGCTACTTGTTTTTTTGCTTAACCCTTTGTGATTTAACCCAAAGTGGTTTGCTGCCTGTGTTACTAGCCAGCAGTAAAGCAAGTCCTTGAAGGAACAGGGATAGAAGGACTCTAATCACCTGGAGTTGGTGTGTGAAGAGTGTTTGGTCTTTGTCTCTGTAGCAGGATTCTCCATCTCAGTGGGCCTGCCTCAGTTTCCCCTTGTGATTCAGTTGCTCTCTGTCTCACAATTTTACAGCCCCTTGGCCTGGAGTGGAAAGATTCCCATGGGAAAGGAAAGGGCCTGGCAAGCTCTGAGCTGGTAACAAGCTTGAAAGTACAAAGAGGCCAAGTTGATGTTCATAACACCAGCTGCTCTCCTGTGTTGAAGAACACAGAGCCCAGCCTGGCCGTGGCTGGGCCCAAAACAGAGACAAAACAAGAACTAACAGATAAACAAAAGTTTGCTTGGTGAAAAAAGGGCCTTCTTGGATGTTTCCACTGTTTCCTTGTTGTTCTCCAATGAGAGGAGAGGTGTGGCTAAGTAGTGAAATGACAGCAGCCAGTCACTTGATTCTATACAAGCTTGGGCCCATCTTGGATCACGGAGACTCCTGAACACTTTCCCAGGAGGTTGCTGGAGCTTCTCCCTTCAGCAGGGACACCTGCTTGAGGGTCACTCCTCTGAAGCTGAGGAACAAGACAAGGGATCCCTGGCTGTGGCTGTAAAAGGGTGACAGTTATCAACTCCCTATATGTCTTTATTAGCCAGTTTTAATATTAAGTTCGAGAACTTGAAGACCTTAGGATCTTTTTTTTTTTTTTTTAGATAATTGCAATTACTGCATTATCACCTTGCCTAGGTATTATTTTAATAATTGTTGTAGACCTAATACAAGGCCTATTAATAAAGCAAGTTACTGGCATTGAAATGTTTAACCTCTGTCAGCTAACTGGCAGTTAACTGGAGTTGTGCATTTTATTGTTAAGATACCTTTCACAAGTTACTGGCATTGAAATGTTTAAGCTCTGTCAGCTAACTGGCTCTGAGTTGTGCATTTTATTGTTAAGATACCTTTCTGCTTTATTGCTTTAGCACTCTGTTCTGCTGCCCTAATTTCCCAACTCCCACACAGGTGTTTTTTCTTTTGGTTTGGTCATTCAGACCCCGGTGCTGTTTGCAAGAAATCTTCTTTTGTGCAGATACATCTCTTCTGCTATCTTGTCTCTGGTATTTTATCTCCTTTCCAAGTCTGAAACGTGTTCACTGCCATGGCTTAGCAGGGGAACCACACTTTGTACTAGGGTTACCTGCACAGGGAAGACCCCAGCTCAGCAGCTTCGTGCTGGGCTTCAAGGAGTTCTCCAAGTAGATGCTGGTTCTTCCTGTAACCGTAGCTGCGACTCCTGGCAGCAGCAAACAAGATGAGTAAACCCCTTCTCATCACTAAAGCTGGCTGAAGTTTGTCAGACTGTTTTGATGTTGAACGTATACAATTTTCTTGGCCTTTACAGGAAGCTGTGGGTGCTCCACAGTAACTTAAGAGAAAATGCTGCAGCTTTGGGTTCCGGAGCTTGGCACCTCACTCAGTTTAGCTGCTTCCCCTCTTCTCTCAAACAACTCGGTAGCAGATCTGGGCAAGCATGTCCTGCTTCCAGAATCACAGAATCACTTAGGTTGGAAAAGACAGATTTAATTTCAATCTAAAACCCACGTGAAAGCAGCCATATTACTTCTACTGACAAGTGATCTGTGAGAGAATAATCTTCTCTGAATGCTGTTGCTGGATTCTGAAAAATGGAAAAAGTATGACTAGGGCTGTGCTGGTTGACATCATCAAAGGGTCTGGCTTGGACAACCCTATGTATCTCCCCTTTCCATGCTTATCAATAAATCCTGTAAGGAGGTGAATTTGAGCAGCGCAGGGAGGTCTTGGTTGAGAACAGATGTGGCTTGACAAGCCTGTTTGCAATGAAATGCAGAAACAGATCCAGGGTGGGAGGAGATGAGGTGATGCAGCCAAATGCAGTTGTGTGGACTTTGTTGTGCTGCTGACAAGTGTTGATCAGAAGTTGCCACAAGGCTGTCTGGGCCTCATCCAGTCCTTGATAAAGGTTTCCCCAGTGTTGCAAGTGGTTTTGGAGAGGAGGTCTGTCAGAAGTGCTGCTCAGGGTTACAGTGCTGCTGTTCTCCAGGAAAGAACTGATCTGCTGTGTGAAATGCCAAGGCTTCTTTGCCTTACAGCAGTTTGTTCTTCCTTACCATATTGGCTTAACACCAGGGCTTGGAGTTGCTAACTTAGGGAGGAAAAGGTTGAAATATTTTCTGTTTCCACCGAACTGGAGGGGGAGAGAGAGCTCAGGACATGAGAGCAGCCTGGCAGTTAAGTTGCTAAAGCCTCAATCTGGCAGTTGGCCCATCAGGCTAAATCATGTATGTCCTGACCTCTCAGCAAGGTCAGAGTCAGTGTGAGGAGGCAGGAAGAAGAAAGAGGAGAGTGTGAAACCCAGATCTCTGCTGGGTTTCAGCAGCAGAGTAGCTAGAGCAGTGTGCTCTAGATGCTGTATGGTTCCCTGTTAGCCATGTGTGTCTTCACATGGTTTGTTTTTTAGCTGGGGCAGCTATTGTGGCATCTGGTGTCACTGCAGTTCCCAGCAGGCTCAGTGTTCTTGGAGGTAGAGGGCACTTTGGGGCACAGTGGCATTTTCCTGCAATCTTGCTCTGCAAGGATGTACAGTGACAAATGATCAGTGCAGGGTGATTATGCCACCTTCTGTTGTAGGAGATGGGGGCTGGTTCTGCAGAACAGAAGACTTTTTTGCCATGTGAGGTTCATGTTGGTTGGCAGGAAGGAGAGTTAACACCTAAAATGTTATTTACCTTGAAAGTGTTAATATATAGACCAGCCTAAATGGGCTAGTTGAGATGTGCTGAGTTTAGGGACAACCAGGCCATCGATGTGTAATCGCTGCTGTGTGAATGACATAGTGAGGCTTCTCAAATCCCTCTTATTCCAATTTTGAAGTGACTTTTAATCCTTCAGATATATTGGTCTCTAAGCACTTTTTTCAAAGAGGAAAATAACCTAACTCAAGCAGCTTGAGTAATAATAGTACTTAGTGCTTAATGAACGATGTGAAATTAATCCTCCTGGACCAATAAATTGAAATGAAATTGTGTTGATCTTGGCTGGGGAACAGGGAAGTGATGTGAAATCAGCTTTCCTCTGGGCAAGGAAGAGCAGCTCCATCATGGCCTGTGGAGATGGAATTGGTGAAACTGGTGAGCCTATGAAGTTTGGCTCAAGCTGAGCCCTGCATTTCAGTTCTCTTCCTCCACTCTGACAACTGCACTGCAAGTCAGATGGTGTTCTCCAGGCTTGGTCAGACCTGCTGAGGAGCAGTGGGAATGTGTCTTCTTGGTCCTGGGGTCACTGCTTAGGGCCAGGGAGATGGTTCTGGATCCCTGACCTCCCTCCTGTGTGCTGTTCCTTCGGGTCAGTGCAGGTGTGACATTGCTGTGCCAGACCTGTTAGTCTGCCTTCCTGTTACATGGAACCCTTGTGGCCTCCCCCTGTTGATCCAAACAAGACTGAGGAGTATAAATAAATGTTTTCAAGTTGGGCAGAATCCCTTGGGTGGCCACAGTCTTTCCTCTCATGTGCAGGTACCCAGCATCAAATGGGGAGTGCTGTGAATGGGCACTGACATCTTGTTGTAGTGTCACCTTTGGGCCGAGTGTTAAGATGGTGATGCCTAATAATTTTGAGTACACTTTGTACATCAATTATTGTAAGTTAAAATTGATAGTTTGGTCCTTGTTTTCAGGTTACAAGCTAATTGGAAGCCATTCTGGGGTGAAGCTCTGCCGATGGACAAAGGTATGATCTCTCTTCTCTAAGCTAGAGTCTTACTCAGGTATAACAATGTCCAGATGAAATGTCCTTTAAAAACATGATATTACTTGCACAAAAATCAATTCCATCTTTCAAGCTGTAGTTTTGCATTTCAAGCTCTTTCCTGCTCCAAAGAGTGAGAACATGACCATGGGAAAAAGCTGTGAACATAATTGTCTGTTGTTTTTCCTGTTATTCTACTGTCTGCTAAAATATCTCCTGAAAATATCTACTGAAATACAAGGCAGGTGCAGAACATGGAAGAGTAAAGTAGGAAGGTTATGTCACCAGTGTGAGTTCTTCTGGAGGAAAGTTGACCCAGTCCCTCAGTGCACTCCAGTGGGCACAGGAGGGCGTTAGAACCTGTTCTGTGACTGGTAAATCTGGTCTGTGACAGTGAGTCCTCTGCTGGTGTTCAGCTTTTGCCAAGTAAGATTTAGCAAGCGAGGTGACTGTCACTTGTTAAGGTTGGGACTTAAAAAAAAATGCCTGTGTGGGAGCGTGTGTGTGTTGTATATAGTTGTGTATGATATGTCTGAGTGTGTGTGCATGTGTGTGAAAAAAAGCCATCCTCCAAGCCCTGGATGGAAGGCTCTGCAAGCCAGTGGCTTTTCAAGTAGTTTGCAGGTTTAGAAACATTCCCAGCAGGGGCACAGAGCCCTGTGGAACAAACTGCAGCCACTTCAGTATGTTTGTTGTCAGCTGTCCTTTGCAGGTCCCCAAGAAGCTCAGAAGTTGAAAGCTGGTCTCTAATGTTCTACACCTGGGGAGTAACTTTGATGTAACACACTCATGCCTTCAGCATTCCTGGGCTGATCAACTGTGGGAATCATCACCCCGTGATCATGTCAGCCCATCTCTAGATCTTGTGCTGTGGCAGTGTTTAGCTCCTTGGTCTCTCAGCTCCCTTCTGCTGCGTGATTAGCTTTGTGTATTTTTGAAGAGAGCTCTTTGAATGGCATTCACCAGTGGCTGCAGTGAGGTTTCTTTCTTGATCTGCCTGGTATCAATGAACTGTTTCATCAAAAGACTTGTTCTCCTGAACAGTTTGAAGGGCCCACTGCTGTATTGTAATGAATATTTGTGAGATGTACTGATCCCACTGATGCTTCTGCTGTTTACTCCTACAAATATTTGTCTCTTTTGTCACTTTTCATGTCAGAGAAGGCCATGACATGTTTAAAGAAAAACTTGTCAAAATTCATCAGTGCTTGTGACTGAGGGAGAAAGCCAGAGAACCTATTTTTATTAAAGAACCAGAATTTAATGCAGCACTGTAATGCCATTTCACAAAATAAATAGCAGCTCTGTGTGCTTAGATAGGACCATGCTATTTTTAGCTTAAACGGGAGCTGAAAGTAAAGTGCTCTAAGAACTGGAGCTGAAACTGGGTACAGGCAGTGGCTTTGACTGGGATTCACACCAATATGTGAATATCTTCAGGAGACTTGTTTGAGATTTGTATCAGAGGAAAGCAGGAGCCAGGGCTGGGAGGATTAGTATTAAGCAGGATTTCATAGTGATATCTTAAGATTGAAATGATTGAGTTCTGTCATATTCTAGAAAAGGGCATAAAACCTGCAGATTCTAGGAAGACTCTGCTTTGCCTGTTCTATGAAATCTGAAATAGAACTTGCTTTCCAAGAAACCTGTTGTTTGAGGAATGGGAAGAATAAACAGCATTTTGTTTAATCTTCCAACTATGTAACAAGGTTGTGCATATGTGAGGAGTTACCTGTATGTTCTTTCCCTGCTGCTCAGAGGAAACTCTCTCTTGGATCACCAGGGCTCCTCAGGTAGAGGAAGGCAGATTAAAAGTTACTGTGTCCTATTTTTTTTTTTTTTTTCTTGAGGGTAGTAAAGATTCTTTCTCATTTAATATTATTTAACTGAAGTAATGAAAGGCAGTCTTTGCTCCAAACAGCTTGCATGCTAAATAGGAGGTGTGTCCTGGTGGGAAGGCAGCTGTGGTTCTGTGAAGGGAAGTGCAGCGTCCTGCTGGAGCCACTCACTGGTGTGAATGAGGGTTTATAAGGTCAGGGTATTCATTTAAATTAGTGCTAGAAGAAGTAATCTACCAGACAAATGAAAAGAATTGAGTGCTCAGTACTGCAGCCTTGAAATTGATCCTTGTTACCCTTTAGTGAGCTTTTACAGTAATATTTCTTGCAGCTTAAGTGCTTCTTTCTTTTCTTGACTGGTTCAGTTTAAACCTTCAGTAGAGCACATGGTCGTCCTGTGGGGTTGCAAGTGAGAAGCTATTGATTATATTGGTTTCTCTCCTCTAAACCAGTTGTAAGTTTAACATAATAAATACCTTTTTTTTCTGGAAGGGTGTATATAAGCAGTCACACTATGTACTGAGCTGCACACCCTGAAGTTCTGAACACAGGCTGCACGTTGCCGAGACCTGCTCGACAGTGTCTGTCACAGGGGGCTCTGAACACCAAACTTACTGGTGACTGAAAACTTGGAGAGCAGATTTCAAATCTTTGGTTACAGATGGTGTGTTCTAACTTTCTTGGTGTTTTTTTGTGCCTTTCTCTGCCCTTAGTCAATGCTTCGAGGCCGAGGGGGCTGCTATAAACACACGTTCTACGGAATCGAGAGCCACCGCTGCATGGAGGCCACGCCGAGCCTGGCTTGTGCCAACAAGTGTGTCTTTTGCTGGAGGTAAAATAATGAGGCAATTTTACTGTGTTTCACTTGATCCCTGTCCTGTTCCTCACACCTAGGGCTGTGTTACTTGTGTGCCCATTTCATTTGTACACTGGGGGAGGAAGGTTTGGAAAGGCAGCGGTGTTGCTTCTCCTTCCTGCCTCTGTTCCTTCTCTTTGGAGAGCCATGGAGCTGGTGGATCAGGAACTGAACTGGCTGGGTTGGCTCCATAGCTCAGAGTCTGAGGAGGATCTGAGGGCTTCTCGGTGCCACCTCCCAAAAAGCACCTCCTCTGCAGCCAGGTCTTGGAGCCCAACAAGTTCAGTGTGGCTGGGGACCAGTGGAAGGAGGAATCGGGGGGCAGGAGGTGACCACCTCACCATCTGCTGCCCTGCACATCCTACTGCTGCCTGTACAAAGCACTGACAGAGGTTTATTCCCTCTGGAGATCACTGGGCCTCCTCTGGCAGCTGGTGCTCTGGAGAACACTGGCTGGCTGTTGTGTGAAGCCACCAAGGTGCTCAGTGATGTGTGTGTCTTTGTTTTGAATTTGGGCCCTTTTTTAATGGACCTTCACTCACACCAATTCACTTGCATTCTCAGTGAGTGAAAAGTGATGACTTGGAAACTGTTGCCTTCCTAAATCAGTAGCTAATAAATGACTTTCCATTTTAGTCAGTAAAGTGACCCCTTTCCTCAGAGGAATTACTTTGTTGTTAATTCTCTAAAGGAAGTGAGCTTTGCCTGAATCTGAACTGGGAGCTGCTTTAGCACTGTGTGCTCACTGAAATGCCTGGATATCCAGGGGAGGTTTTTGCTTAGGATGGGAAGTGCAGAATGGGATCAGTGAGAGAGGCAGAGGCTCAGCAGAAATAAAAGCAGTGACGTGAAATTGTGCTGAGTGGGAGGACGTGGAAGTTATTCTTTGAGCTCTTTTGTCTTCTACCTTGTTAGCTAATTCATACCACGGGGGTTGCACTTCCTTTGGTATTTATGCCTACCCCAGGAGGGTGGCTGCCAGTATCACCCATTCCATCCCTAAGCTTGGATGTCCAACACCCCAATATTTCTATGCAAAGCCAGCCAATTTCCTCTGAGTACCACTTTCTGTCTTTCATAGACTTCAATTTAAATAATGCAAATATTTCACGAGTATATATTCTCTGGCAAGTGCTCCAACCTCAACACAAAGGCCACAGCAGCTGAAAGCAGGGTCTGGGAGAGTGAATTACCTCCCACCATAGATGGAGAACAGGTTTGTGACCATATGCACCTGAAGGTGCATAAATCTATGGGAGCTGATGGGATTCACCCATGGGTCCTGAGGCAGCTGATGGATGAAATTGCTGAGCCTCTGTCCATCATATTTGAGAGGTCATGGCAGTCTGGTGAGGTTCCTGCTGGCTGGAAAAAAGGCAACATAGCCCCTATTTTTAAAAAGGGAAAAAAGAAAGACCCAGGGAATTGAAGGCTGGTCAGTCTCACCTCTGTGGTGCCTGGCAAGGTCATGGAGCAGATCCTCCTAGGAAGTCTGCTAAGGCACATGGAAAATAAAGAGGTGATTGGTGACAGCCAACATGGCTTCACCAAGGGCAAGTCATGCCTGACCATTCTGGTGGCTTTCTACAGCAAAGCTACAGAGATGGTGGATGGTGGCAGAGCAGCTGATGTCATCTACCTGGATTTGTGTGAGGTGTTTGACACTGTCCCACATGACAACCTGGTCTGCAAACTGACAAGGCATGGGTTTGACAGATGGAGCACTGGGTGGATAAGAGATTGGCTGGATGGCCCCACCCAGAGAGTTGTGGTCAATGGCTCAATGTCCAAATGGAGGCAGGTGATGAGAGGTGTCCTTCAGGGGTCAGTATTGGGAGCAGTGCTGTTTATCATCTTTGTTGGAGACATGAGCAGTGACATTGAGTGTATCCTCAGCAAGTTTGCTGATGACACCAAGCTGTGTGGGGTGGTTGACACCCAAGCAGGAAGGGATCCATCAGAGGGACCTTGACAGGCTGGAGAAGTGGCCAGTGCCAACCTCATGAAGTTCAACAAGGCCAAGTGCAGGGTCCTGCACCTGGGTTGGCACAACCCCAGGCACAAATACAGGCTGGGGGGAGAATGGCTGGAGAGCAGCCCTGAGGAGAAGGACTTGGGGGTGGGAGGAGATGAGAAGCTGAACATGAGCCCCCAGTGAGCACTGGAGCCCAGAGGGGCAATTGTGTCCTGGGCTGCATCAGAAGTGTGG